GGAAGATTTGACACAAAGCCAGGCGAGGATGGATCTTACTTCATTGATCGTGATGGAACTCACTTCCGGTATATCCTGAATTATCTTCGCACTGGGCAGCTTATTGTACCAGAAGACAAGGTTCTTCGCAAAGAGCTCTTGGCAGAGGCGCAATTTTATCAAATTGAAGGAATAATCAATGAAATTAATGAGCTGAAAGCAAGAGCCTTGAAGGATTCTTTGCGCCTCTCATCAGAGCCAGGGGTGTCTAATCGATGAGTTCAAATCATTGGAAACAAGAGAGGATGAAGCCCGGGGGGAGACTCCTATATAAAAAAGAAGGGGTTGCTCGTCGGAAATTTTGAAAAGAACCCCTAAAAGGTACCAAGATCCTGTTTTGTGGATGCGGCTTGCAATTTGTTTCACCCCTAAGAGGTACCAATTCTAAAACAACACATTATCTCCTGTCATATGTTTTTCGGCTCAGTGCCCTAAAAGGTACCCTCAAAAGCTCACGCTGTGGACCTTTTTAGGCTGAACACTCTAAGAGGTAACAAAACCAAACCAAACTTTAAAAGGTGGGACGAACACCCCGTCCTTTTTATGTAGGAGTTCCCCCCCCCCTCCCCCCGGGGGAATGAAGTGCAATAGAGTTAATCCGCCATAAAGGCCTAATTCCCAAATCCCAAGTGAATCCCTCCCGAGTTCTTTTTAGACATGGTACCCAGTTCTGTCGCGAATCGTGTCACGCTCGTTGGGTGAATATTTTCTTGGAGGATGATAATCGATAATGGGTATAAAGTCGCTCAGGTTGTCCAGGTGAGCAAAATGGTGTCACGCGATTGGCTATGTCTAGAAAACCGGGAGCGATCTAGAAATAACTGACTTGAGAGGGATTGCCTTAACAAAATACTTATGGTATAAATCTCACCGATACATCAATTATTTTATCTTTTTTTTTTATTTCATTAATTAATTTTATCTTAGAATTTTATTGTATTTTTAGAATTTTTTAACTTTTTTAGACTTAAAAATTTTTAGCTACTGTATATCTATAATTTTTACTCAGGATCAACCTGAAAACCATCTGAGGGTGAGGTTGCCTCCTGGCTAAAGACGTATTATTATTATTAATATTATTATTATTATTATTAATATTATTATTATTATTGTTGTTGTTGTTATTGTTGTTATTATTATTATTATTATTATTATTATAAGCAGGCTACATCAGTATTGTAACCTACTCGAACTTATTTATTAAATATGCACGATCTAAATTAACAGTACTAGCATAACAGTGTCTTTCAGTTTCTTTTTAACATTTTTAACAATGTATTTAGCTTCGAGCCCAAGATTTCTACTGTCAAAAGAGTGTTTCTGTCGAGGACTCATAAACTCAAAGATAACCGGATAATTTTTGGGGTTCTCACGTAGTTTTTAGAACATCAAATTTCCAATGATATCTATTAGCCTACAGGCTGATTTTTGCTGTTGGAAATCAGTAAAATTCAAACTAAGCGAAAATCTAGCATCATCTACAATCTGGCGTCATATCTTGTATGCATACTTCAGCCCATCTCCACCAATCAATTCACGATCAAGGATTTTTTTTGGTTTGCGGACTGGGCCAAGGCGTATAACCATAACAATGAAATGATGTGCTCGTTTGACGTTAGTTCATTGTTTACAAACGTTCCACTTGATGAGACAATACAGATTTATCCTGACAAATTGTATACCCTCCACGATCCACCAACTCTGCATCGCTTAGTCTTGAAAGTTCTGCTTGAGTTTGCCACAAAGAAAAGCTATTTTGTATTTAGTGGTCAATATTACGACCAAATTGACGGTGTGGCTATGGGCTCTCCTTTAGGTCCTGTTTTGGCCAATATCTTTCTGTGCCATTTTGAAAAGAAATAGGTCCTTAACAACAACGCTGCCCTTCTATTTGGTTGCGATAAGTTGACGATACCGCATGATCAGCAACTCATGATCAGTTTCTGCACTGCCTCAACAACTGCCACGCAAATATCAATTGTCATGTTTGTCATTGCAGTTTGTGTGTTATTTCTTATAAAGCACCGTAAAAAACGTTAAAGAGTATTCCCCCCCCCCTTCAGGAGTAGTCACAAGTGTGGCTGCGCGAAGAAATCTTAGCAACAGTCAGCCGACGCTTTAAATGTAATTTGTAAGCAGAACCTGTTACTTTCTTTCTGTGCATGATCGTAGTGTTATTGGGAGACTATAAACTTGAATTCAGTGGTTTTATCGTAGCTGTTCTGTACATCATTTCCAAGGGCTTAAGACAACTTTCTGGGAAAAGCATCGAAGTTGTAAAAATGGCATAAAAAAATTCTTAACCAGAGAACTTGTTACACATAGTCGACCTCTCGGTCTTGCCGACCGTTATAGGAATCCGACCGTTAAAGTCATCGGGTGACTTTAGATCAGACCTTAAGAGTTTTTGTTCTGGAACAGAGTAGAAAAGGCTTGCCGCAGTTGTAGTTATAAATGTTATAGGCTTTCATCCGCCGGAAATTGCAGGGAGAAACAAGGAATGGGGAACTGAGACCAAGTAAGCTGCATTCTAGGCTTTGGATCCACTTGACAGATGCGGTGTGACCAAACAAAAACTATCAATAATGTATAAAGGTATCACAAATATAATTTCCGCGAAATCAAAAATTCCAAGTATCGAGAGTTGAAAAGTTTTGACGGAAGCAAAACAGCTCCAGTGATTCGTCCTATTTCGATCACCTCTGTTTCTTCAAGTTTGATGTCTTTGTCGCGAACCTCCGAGGGAATACGAATTCTCTCAACGTTGAGAAATAGAAGGGGCCCAAGAATCGTTCCCTGTGGAACACCACAGTGAAGGAACATGTTAGACGATTTGTTCCCGTTTGCTAAACACGTTTGGGTTCGCTTCTTTAAATAAGAGCAGAACCATTGGTTTGTGGAACCCTGAATACGATAAGCTTGTAATTTTGACGGAAGAATAGGGGGCAGCGTGGCCGAGTGGTTTAGGGCGCTGATGTTGTAATCCGGAGGTCCCAGGTTCAAGGCCTCCACCCTTTGTTTCTCGGAAGTCCCGAGTTGAAATCCTCGGTCACGCTTTGTAAATAGCCAACTGGTCTGCCTCCTGCCAGTTGGGATTTTTAACTATGTTACGTTTATTTGAAACATTTGTTTTCTTTGTTTCAGTGGCATGCCTGTAAACTAGCTAAGCTTAGTGCTTGTATAGCCAAGTGCATGACCACTATAAATGAGATTAACATTTTTTTTTACATTTTGAAGTGTTCCAGGATGTGACCAAACGCGCCGAATTTTGAACAACGAGACGAACAGACAGAGATTTTGCAATGAACGGGGAGCTCCTGATGAGGCAGCAGAAAAGCTCGACCATGATCCTTTCTCCAAAATGTTGAAACTCAATGTTGGCGGCCAACTTTTCTTGACCAGTCTAGAAACCCTGATGAAGGATCCAGGTAATTCAAAACATACCATTAAAATGTAAAACTTTCAAATTGTCTAACTTAATTGCTATATCTCTCAATTTTGACGAAGACGTTGCTCGGTTTAGAAACTTAATTAACAAAGCAAGTCAGCGAAGGAAAGAGTCCCGCTTACCTCGAGAAAATTGTTTTCCGCCGGAAAACTGTTTTCTATGCGGCTAAATTGGGAATTAAAACGTTTTCTTGATTCGTCAGGATCTTGTGCACTTTTGATTAATCGTGTTTATCCCAGGTTCGATGTTGCACGCCATGTTTTCGGGAAGATTTGACACAAAGCCAAGCGAGGATGGATCTTACTTCATTGATCGCGACGGAACTCACTTCCGGTATATCCTGAATTATCTTCGCACTGGGCAGCTTCTTGTGCCTAAAGACGAGATAATTCGTGTGGAGTTATTGGCAGAGGCCGAATTTTATCAAATTGAGGGAATAGTTAATGCGCTGAGAGCAAGTTTCTTTAAATATTCTGCGATCTTGTCATTAGAACAACGCCAAACATTGGTGAACTGGTTGAAGGAGACCGGGCCCATCACAATCGCCAGCGAGAAATTGTTATATTGTGCCTCGCGTGATGGCTGGGGCAACTTTCACGCGTATTGTGACAACAAGGGACCGACTGTGACGGTGATCAAGAGTGGAAACTACATATTTGGAGGCTATACCGATAATGACTGGGCTGGTAGGTTACTTGAGTACCAAGAGACAGGTGATGGGCTCCTGCAAGAGATTATGATCATTATCATATTCTCTTGTGAGTACTGATTGTCAAAGGGAACTGTGCAATGTAGCCTGCGTAGCAAGCGTTCCCGCACAAAGAGCCTTTCAGCATTCTGACTGCGCGTAAATTGGAGCGAGAGCGAAAATTCGACGAAGCACCACCCGCTGCCATTCTCGTCCCCATAGCCCTTTTCGCTCCTCTTAGCCGGCAGGGCCTTGGCACGAGAATCGAAGGGCTCTGGAGAAATAGGATTTTCGAATTAACTCGAATTTTTTTTGATTGGCTGTTTGAAAACAAAGAATTCTTGAACGGAAGTCAGAATGTTCGAGCCGATTGCTTGCGCGAAAATATGAAACAGCTGCGACCAGCGGTGTTGAGCGGTGTTTAAAATGGAGGACATGGAGGATTTGGGCCATATTGTTCAACTCACGGCTCAACACTTGTCGCTTTGTAACAAAACGGTTTTTTTAGAAACAACAGTTGATATATTCGGCGGGGAAAGCAGCAAAGAGCTGGAAATTTTAAAAGTGCTTGAGTTTTTAACTAGGTAAGAAATTAAGTTTGGCGATGGTTTACCAACGAAACTGTTCGACCCATGTACAGAAAGGTGAAGAATATTAAAGAATTCCGTTCATTGTTGCTGGCATCACTTTCTTTGCAGGAATTGTCGATCGTAGGGTCTTCTGTGAAAAGAGTTTGTGGCTCGCAACAGGTTGGAGAATCACCTTC